ACTTCTTTAATTGTCACTTGTCTGGCCTTGAATATCACCAGCTCACTCCTCATATCTCCATGCCCAACCAAATCTATAAATTTATTACTCTACGTTTTAATTTGATTGTCCTGTTTTAACTAGGCATAATTTAAAAAATTAAAAAATTAAAAATATGTAAAATGTATCAAAATGTCATTTAATCTTGTGATCTTTAACATGTTATGTGGAAAGTTGAGTTGTCAAAAAATGAAAGAGACATTTTTAAAAAATAGAACAAATAAATTGAAACAAAATTGAATGTAGTAGCTACCTGAATAAATTAATTGAGCTTCTTAATTATCAACATACAACACCACAAATACATCAACGTGGAAGCCCAAACACATACCAGAATATAGAGCCGTCAAAATGGGCTTATCTCATGGGGCTGACCCAACCCTATCCGTTATTGCGGTAGGGTTGGGATAGAGTTTTTCAAGTCCATTTAAAACTAGGGCTTATAAGCTCGGTCTATATAAGCCCTTGGCCCTTGAGGCTTGATTGAGGTTGGGCCGGGGTCGGCCATGGGCCAAAACTTTTTATTCAAGAGTAATTTACAATAATCTCACTAGTATAATACACACTATGTTGTAATATTATGAAACTTCGTACCCAAATACATGTATCTCAGAATATATGGACTCAAAATTAGGTTAATTTGTTCTAGATACTACTCTATCAAAGTAGATTCACATGTATCTAGGATACATATACAAATCTTGTGTCCTCGCCTCCCTCCCATCTTGCTTATCACTCTCTTATTTCACTCGCATATCTGGTATGCGAGATACATGCTAATTACACTAAATTTTTACCAGTATTATTGAAACAACACTATTGTTTGCCATAATTGATTTGAAAATCTTCTCATTTTCTTGATGTTATAGAATTACAAGTTTGAAAAGAAAAAATATAAAAAAAAATAAAAAGAAGGGCTAGCCCGCCCCAGCCCTCGGCCCTTCTAGGGTTGGTTGGGTTGAGCATTTCAGGCCCTACCAAATGAAAGGCCAGCCCGCCCTAGCCCTTCAAATTCCTTGGCCCGTGAGACTTGGGCCGGGTGGGGCTGGACCGACCCTTTTTGACAGCTCTACCATAATATATGTTCTAATCCTTAGAGTTAGTGGGGCTTATAAACTTGATGACTTATATCTACTCACAAATTGCATATTCAAATTTTGGGTCATTTTAATCTCTATGTGACAAATATTGGACAGTTGTTTAATTTGGTAATAATTTTAAAAAAGAACCTACAGGAGGTAGTTGATCAACACTCTTGATGATGTGAGGTTTTTTTTTGAGAAAATTAAAACTGTGTGGTGAGCTTTGCTCAAAGCATACAATATGTATCACATTATATTAAAAATATTTTTAAATTATGTTAGCCTAACAGTTAGTAATGAAGCCAATAGTTCAGCGAGACGTCAGACTAGTAAAAAGATAGACACACTTAATGCTTTTTCTTGTCAACGAGCCGATTTAATACCTTTAATTTCTCGGAGCTTTAGAGGCGCATACACAAAAAAAGAAAAGATTTTGAATTTTTGTCATAATTCTTAATTGATGTGGGTGACACACAATTAATAATATATCTCTGGATAAGCCCATCAGGTGATGGTAAAAATGGAACTTAGTTTGATAAGAAAATTATTGGACATGCAAACAAAGTTTCATATTAGTAGCCAAGGGCTCCCTCGATAAAATATTACACTATATATACGGTAAAATTTTTATATTTATGTAGATATACTACTTTTGAACCTCTTCATGAACAAGAAGCAAGTTATGGTGTAGTGTAGATCTCCTCTTAATTTGACCCTTGTGTCCAAGGTTTGAGTCCCCATTGTGAACATTTTTTTTAATTTTTTTTTTAACTTCTCTTTATTTAGAGTCCGTTTGGATTGACTTAAAAAAAATAATAATAGCTTTTAAGTCAAACTGAAATGACTTTTAAGTCAAAAAATAAATAGTAGGAGGAGACCTACTTTTGATTTTTGACTTATTTAAAGTCATTTTTTACCTAGCCAAATACTTTCTAACTTATTTTAAGTCATTTTTTTTACTTATTTTAATTTATTTTTTTTATATTTGTCAAACACTTGTAGAAGTAAAAAACTGACTTAAAAGTAGGTTTTTAAGTCAATCTAAATACCCTATTAGTTTCAGGATCAATCTTTCACGTTTTTTGGTATTTTATTTTTTTAGGAAAAGCGATTTTTATTTAATTTTTTAGCTTCTCTTTATTTAATATCAGGACCAATCTTTCACACTTTTTGTGATTTAAAAAATAAATAAAAAACGTGCTACAAAAATAGATCTAAACCCAAAAAAATCCAAACGTGAAAGAAAATCAAAACGGTTCAGTGAGAACAATATAACACCATACAAGATAATCTGAGTATCGGTGAGAACAATATAACATCATACAAGATAATCTGAGTATCAGTGAGAACAATATAACACCATACAAGATAATCAGAGTATCTTTGAGATGTTCCAACAAATAGGACAATCTGCAGGCGCTAGGACAATAAATCACAGTCAATAGACTTACTTGGCTCTAAATACTCTTGACACTAAAACATGTACTGAAATAAGTGGATACAAAACATCATATTAATGTAGATTTTTTTTATGCGAATTAAAATTTAGTAGTATTGCAATATATATTGAATATCGAATGAAAATTAAATAATAATTTTTGTTTTTATCTATTAACAAAAAATGAGTGGTAGATGAGTTGGTTCAATTATCCCATATATCAATGATTTTTTTTAATGCTTTATCCTATCTAGTACAATAGTATTGAGACTTAATAGGGGAACCTAAATAAAGTTATCCTTCAATTTCCAAGTTCTTCCATCTTAGACATGAATGAAGACAAATAATATAACAAAGAGTAAATTTACATCAAGTGGATGTAGGTAGTCTTTGTTAGGAAAATTCCATATCCTTGATAGCAATGGTGGACCTATTCTTGGAGGCGTAATTAAAATTTAAAATTTATGAAATTAAGATTTTAGTTCCTCTAATTTATTATGTTTTACTATCTTTATTCACTTTTAATTGTCATGGTTTTTTTTAAGAGTCAAACGATAAATATTTTGACTAACATTTTATGATATGTTTTTTTCATCATATTGATATGCGGAAAAAATGCAAGTTTTAATACTTTTCGTATAATTTTTGAATATCTTAATTTTTTTAATTTAAAATATCAAATTAATGTAATCTAATTTTACTTTGAAAATTAGTTAAATTGACTTTTAAAAACGCAACATGACAATTAAAAATAGACAAATAAAATATGTTAATAATTTATACATATTTAATAAATTTATATTAAAATTATTGAATTCAGCAAAATCCATAACGGAAGCACTAGGTCCGCTCCTGCCTACACTATAGTAAGTGGGCGCTCAACCATCCATTGTATTTCACACCAAACATTATCTTTTTGTTGTATTTGATAATTTGAATGGGCAATAGTAATAAGACACGTGTTATTGACATTTTGTCTATTGTTATGAAATTTTTAGTGTGAACCCTAAACAGTGAAAGTGAAATGGAACTGGAGATGGAGATGGAGATGGAGTCATTGAAATCATGCGGAGCATTCATGAAAAGATTCACATTAGAACCAATTGGCTCTGATTCAGACGAACTCAATGGTCTAACTTTTGCTGTGAAAGACATATTTGATTTAGAAGGCCAAATTACTGGTTTTGGAAATCCAGATTGGGGCAAAACTCATTCTGCAGCAAAATCTACTGCACCAACTGTAGTATCTCTGTTGAAATCTGGTGCTACTTGTATCGGTAAAACCGTAATGGATGAAATGGCTTACAGCATCAATGGCGAAAATTTTCATTACGGTACACCTGTTAATCCTGTTGCACCAGATAGAGTACCTGGAGGATCTTCAAGTGGATCTGCAGTTGCTGTTGGTGCAAAAATTGTTGATTTCGCATTAGGAACGGATACTGGTGGAAGCGTTAGAGTTCCTGCATCGTATTGTGGGATTTATGGTATTCGTCCTTCTCATGGAGTTGTTTCAATTGATGGAGTTATACCTATGGCACAAAGTTTTGATACAGTTGGATGGTTTGCCAGGGATGCTCGTATTTTAAAGCAAGTTGGAAGAGTATTGATTCAATCTGATCACGAATCGAAAGGTCTAAGTAAATTTATAGTAGCAGAAGATTGTTTTAAGCTTCTGGATTCTAAGAGTAATCAACAATTGATTGGAATACTGGTTGATTCGGTGAGGAAGTTATATGGAAGTGATCAAATGATTAAATATGTGAGTATAGGTGAATACATTGAGGAAAATGTTCCGAGTTTGAAGAGATTCATGACTATTGAAACTTGCAGTAATGATTACATTCCATCCTCATTGCGAGCTCTTTCAGCTGCAATGAGGTTGCTTCAGAAATATGAATTTAAAGAGAATCACGGAGAATGGGTTACTGATGTCAAGCCTAGTTTAGGTCCTGGAATAGCAGAACGCGTGCAGGACGCGTTGAAAACTACCATAGATGAAGATATTGACGTGTGCCGAACTGTGAAGACTGAGCTTCTAGCAGCTCTTAGTGCTCTACTTGGGGATTGTGGAGTACTTGCAATCCCAACTGTTCCTGGACCTCCACCAAAACTAAAAACTGAGACGACTACGTTGGAAGGATTTCGTGCTAAAGCTTTTAGTCTTTTGTCAATTGCTGGAGTATCTGGATTTTGCCAGGTTAGTATACCTCTAGGTATACAAGATAATCTTCCTATATCAGTTTCTTTACTGGCAAATCATGGTTCAGATTGGTTCCTGCTAAATGTTGTTGAGGCTATTCATAATGTTCTTAACTTGTAAGAAACATAATAAGTTGAGAAAAAAAAAACAGAACCATATATATGATGAATAATTTACTATTCCAAGGTCACATTTCTTTATTTTGGCATCAACATCTTTATTTATAAGCTTGAAAGCATCATTTGATATTCTTCACAACATACTTATAACCGAGTCTACGAGCACAATCTTGGAATTCATCAAACTCGTCCTGTGGAACTTGTATGCCAACTAAAACATTTGCACCAATATGTACCTTTTCAAAGTAAATATGAAAAGTAGATCAAATTACTTAAAAGTAATAGTAGAAAGACTAGATACTTGTACTAGAATGGAACTTAAAGGTTCTAAATGGTACCTGTGTGCGATAATGGATCAAACTTATATTCCAACGCGGGCTGAAAGCATCTATAGTCTTTGACAAAGCACCAGCCTTCTCGGGGAAAATGAATTGACAAAGAAGCTCATTGTGAAGATTTGATCTACCGCCTGTCTGCACAATTGATAGCAAGTGGGAAAAAAGACAGAAATCAAAACATATGAGCCATCGATACCTAATGAAAACTCCATATTTTACAAAAATCATGGTTCTTTGCTAATGTACTCAATACAGTTAGGAATGAGATTGACTGATTGATATTCTTTCTACTAATTGAGAATCCCAATTCTGAAATTTGTTGATATAAATATTTCTGCGATTCAAAAAATAACAATACAAGTAACAAAGATTTGATGAAATTCAGGATGTTACCAAATGTCTCGAGTGATCTTTGACCAAATCATTATCTCTAAGATTAACAGTGTGCAGTATTGCTGATCTCATCTTCTCCATCAGAGCTTCAAGTTCCGATTTCGTTTGATGAGCAACCCTGCAGATCAAAACAGATATATTCTTGTGAAAAGAAGTGAAGTCTATTAAAATGAGCCAACGTCTCATTAAAAGATCAATAACTTTGCCTGTAAAGCACTAGAGCCTTTTCATCTCTAGAATCATATCTGTACTTGAATTCAATAAACTTCATCGTTGGTCCAATCTATGATCCAAGTTGACTTTTCACATTTGTCAGAGACACGGGTTGATATCTACGGGTTGATATCTTATATGGTCACTCAACTAATAGTTATTATGCCTCAAAAAGTCACCTTTCTTCTTGGTTCTAATTTTCTTCAACAAAGAACGTGACTTTCGGAGATAATAACTATTAGTTGAATGACCATCTACAAAGATTTAGTGATCAAAATAGCATATTGAGTGCTCTATGTGACCTGTTTACAAAACCGTTTGAAGCTTCCGGGCTCTTCTGGCATACAAGTAGCTAGCACAGCTTCGCAATTTCTACCAGCATCTGCAAGTTGGCTTATCAATCTTAGTCTGTCAAAGTTTATATTGGCTCCACTTGTTATTGCTACTACATTTTCATCCTTGAGGCCATAGTACTTGCAGTATGCTTCAGCTCCTGCAAGTGCAAGTGCACCTGCAGGCTCTAATATGCTCCTTTTTTCTTCAAACATGTCCTATTAAAAAGAAATAGCAAGCTTTTGTCATGTCTAATAAACTAAAATTCAGATAAGAAACCAGTTATCTATTACTTCTAGATTATTTTGATGATAGATAATGGTAAAAGACACATCTGAAGGCAGAAGTATTACTTTTTTGCGAGCACCATTTATGAACTATCAAGTGTTTGCATTTCCTACCAAATTATCAGTTTATCACCCACTATTTGTCAAAACACACCTCGAGGCTGAGTAGACCAAGTATTTGAATACAATTGTCAAAAGGTGAGTGACAACTTAACTTGCCCATAGAATTCCATCCATGTGACAACTAACCCATTAATTTTGAGGCATGTTTTGATAAATAGTTGGTGATAACTGAGGTAGTAAACACAAACACCTGACAGACTCGCATTAAAGAGAGATATTAACAAAAATTCCAATGGTCATTCTAGTTGATAGAGCATAAACTAAAGGCATTGAAAGATTTGGTTTTCAACACTACTAATGGCAAAAATCAAACAGATAAAATCATAGTTATAAACTTGTAATCCAAAAGATTGGCTACTAACCTTTATCGATACACATATAGCATCGCAATTAACTAGGACCACCCCGTCTATTAGTTCCTTACAGAGACGGAAAGTTTCTTCACCAACAACTTTAACAGCTACGCCATCTGCAAAATTTCCAACTTGGTCCAGTATGACTCTGTGACCATAGTGTAATGACATTGCCATTGCATTTGCATCACATGGTTCAACTCCAATAATCTTTACATCAGGGGCAACTCTTTTCATATATGCAGCAATACCAGCTATAAGTCCCCCTCCACCAACAGGTACAAATACCGCGTGAATTTTATCTTTCAGTTGACGATTGATCTCCATACCTATAGTACCTTGCCCTGCAATGACATCTGGATGATCGAAAGGAGGGATGAATGTTCGGCCTTCCTCTTCGGCCCTCTTTTTGGCGTATGCTTGTGATTCATCATACGCGTCTCCCATAAGAACAACATTACCACCTAACCTCTCAACTGATTTCCACTGCTCATTTGGTTAAATGAAGAAGAAGAAAACAGAGTTTAGAATAGAAAAATATAAGGGGATAATAGAAAAGGGCATATGAGTTAATGCGTCCAGTATACCACGTAAGACGCGTGCATCTACTTGTTTAATTTTATACAAGTTTAAACGTCTACTTATGCACATCCAAAGTTGGAAGGCGTAGACGATAGTGAAGCCAAGTTAGATGTCATATTTATGTATTATACCCTTGTATTTTATCTAAGTTTGATTCATAGTACATAAGACAACAGATTCAACGCATTGACTTATAAACAAAAAATTCAACAAAATTTCTTATTTCATTCTAATTCTTATTATTCTTTTTGAGATATGTCGAAAATTATTGAAATAATAATATAATATCTTAAAAAGAAAAGGCATAATACATAATTATGCCCTTTAACTCGACCTCAACTCACATTTATGTCCTCCAACTTTGTCTATGCACAAATAAACACTTAAACTTGTATAAAATTAAATAAATAAATACACACGTCCTACATGACAATTTGCGTCCTACGTGGTGTCCTATATGTATTATTCCATTTAGAACTCATGTCTACTTGTTCAATTTTATACTAATTTAAATATCTACTTGTGTACACTTACAATTGGAGGGCATAAATATGATCAAATGAGACCAAGTTAAAAGAGCACTAATTTTAATAGCATTCCTTTATTATATTTTAAGAGGATCCAACATGCACACTAACCTTAGAGAATCTCTATTTATTTTTTTTCAAATTTTGTTCACATCTTAGATCTATAAATTAACTTATCTCCGTAAAGAAGCCAAATGAAACCAAAGTTCATGTTCGTAACCCGCAGTGAACATCATTTTTAAAGAGTCCAAACAACATAAATATAAACCTCTTCTTCGAAAAATTAAAGATCAAAATTATTTTTTTCTTCTAACCTTAATCTCTGGTGTTGTAACAGGCATGACAATGATAGCATTGCAGCCAAGTTTGTGAGAAGCTAATGCAACACCTTGAGCATGATTCCCAGCTGATGAGCAAATGACACCTCTTTTCAGCTCCTCCTCTGAGAGTTTTGCCATCATATTGTATGCTCCTCTAAGATTAAATGAGGAGACCTGCCAAATAGTACATGCTACGCGATAAAATTAGTTCATGAAATTATAATCGCTATCTGATTATTGACTTGGCTATTTATAGTATTAGTTCAGCTCATTTTAGCCCATTAAAAGTTAGACTGATATCTAATTCAAGTTGATCTATGAAAAATCTATATAACTTCAGTAAGAATTGAACAAGTTAAATTTTTCCTCGATTTTTAGTCTATAGTCCAACCCAATAACTTTTGAGCAGGTTAATAGTACACTCATTTACTAAGGCCCCATTTTGTTTTGACGTTTTAATCAAAATGCACATCTAAATAATTAAGATATTGTTTTCATATCTTGATACTGAATAATTAACACTGTTTATCTATCAACATCTGAATATGCATAATTTATTTTCCTTTTAAACTTGATAGATATATAATTTAAAATAATAAGTAATTAAATATTATATCAAAAAACATTAGAAAGATATTTTTAAGAAAATGATTATTTGTGTTTAATTAACTTGAGAAATGCAATAACCAAGATCTAATTGGAAAAATATGTAAGCAACTTTTTTGTCACACATTTTAAAATCACCATTTTTTTTTAAAATACACATAATGAGCTGAGGTCTAAATTAAACTATTCAAATTCAAATTTTTATTACGTGCAAACAAATGAGGTCTAACCCAACCAATTTTGAACCGTTTTAATTCAGCCAAACCCGCGCAGAAGAGAAACGTACGGGTTGAAGATCCTCTCGTTTAAGCCAGACATTAACTCCGAGCTTCTGTGAAAGCTTCGGCGCGAGCTGTAATGGCGATTCGTGTGCCACGTCATACACTCTCGCACCCAAAATGTTGATCAGATACTGAAATCCACTATCACCGCCATTACCGCCCACCGGATAATTTGGAATCAAGTACCCGGGATCGCACCGTAACGAGTTCAGAGACGCTACCGGCAATGGTGAAATCAGAAATGTTTTGCTGTTGTTAGCGATTTTAACGGTGTCGCTGCAGGTAATAATGGCGGTGGTTCTCGCCGGGAAATTTGGGCGGGAAAAACGTGAGGTTGTAGTTAAAGGAGCGAAAGTAAAAGGACTTGCCATATTGAAATGGATGTGTTGAATATCTTATTTTGTTGAAGTGATGGATAAAATTTTGATAAACTAATACTTCCTCTTATTTTTGTATTGTATATACTCTATTATATAAGTGAATTGAGGACATAAATCAAAAGACTATTTTTTTGTTATTTATCATTTTGATTATTTTAAAATTACTCTCCTAAAAAATATAAATTAGTTAAGAACCTCATTAAATGAAGGATAAATATATTTAAATTAAAATTTAACAATTTTTTTGTATTTTGAATAATTTATGAATTAATATAGACTTAAGGAGGTATATGTCTAGCAATAATCTAAAGAAGAGAGACTACGTGTCTATCTTATGCAATGACGATAGTTTTTTTTTTAGTTTGCACGTTGTTTGATAGCGGATTAAAGTTATGATGATATTAATAATGTAGGAATTAATTACTAAGGAATTTATTATTTTATGCAAGATTTAGTGATTTATATACTATTATTGCATATTCATGCATGAGTATTAGTTATTTCTTATTCCCTCAAGCACAAAATAATATATAAATTTACTCGTAACTTATACTTATTAATTAGTTAATACAAATTTTTAAATATAATTCAAACATCATATTAATTTTATAAATAAACAAATTATATTTTAATCAACTATCAAACATGATATTACTTAAAACTAATATAACATTATAAAAAGTTCCCTCCTATGCGACGCAACTCTCACTTAATCGAGCTTCGTATAAAGTGAATACCGTATATCGGATGAAAAATAAAAAATTGAAAAAAGTTTCCTCCTTCCTTCGAACTTCTCTTCTTTTCGAATTATACAATTCTTATTTTGTCCGCCACAAAATTAATTCTTTTATGATTTTGGAAAAAATAAACAGAAAATTAGGGGAGAATCATAAGGGGAAAAAAAGAAAATAGAGTGCACTTATTGAACAAAGTTATAAAGATTTCAATCATTTTTTGAATCTCTCTCTTTGGACCTATTAAGTAAATTACTTGTTTCATATTATTTTTTTTTTGGTAAAATACTTGTTTCATATTTCATACTTGTCATCACGTTTTTCTTTTACATGTTCTTGAAAAATCATAAATAGAAAGGGTTGTTTTCAGATTAACATTTATCTCTCCTTATAAATAAAGCTAAACTAATCTTAGTTATAATTGAACAATCATAACATCAATCAATAATTGCTTATTTAAACTCTTCAAATTTATAATTTTTATACAATGAAGTTAATATTGCGTACCTTAAAAACAATTACTTAAAGGAAAAATGAAAGAATTAATTACTTCTATCTCAATTTCGTAAAATTTGACAAGTACTTCATCTGTCCAATAATAGTTGTGTACTATTGACTTGACATACCCATAAGAAACAATAAATAATAAGAGTAATATTACTATTTTATCCTTTGACTTTAATAAATTTAATTCTCTGAGAATTGTGTTAGATCATAAATACTCTCTCTGTTCCATTTTATATGTCATCTCTTTCTATAAATAGTTGGTTCATAATACTTGTCATTTCATAAAATCAATACATAAATTAGCATATTGTTCCTCTTTTACCCTTGTGAGTTATTAGCATTGAAAACATATATTTGACCAACTTAGAAAAGCTAATTAAATGATTCATGTTCATTGGTTAAATTAATTAATCAAAATAAATTAATTCATATTCATTGATTGAAAACTTGAGTTCCAAAAAAATTAAATAAGGATAGAAGGGTAAAGTTACATTATTTCTTAATGAAGTGCAAAGTTAAAAGGTGACATATAAAAAGGGACGGAGGGAGTAGTATTTAATAGCAAGGGTAAAATAGAGACAAAAAGGTAAATTATCTCTTGATTTTCTAAACTGGTCAAGTATTGTTGAACTACTATTTTTAAGTATAGTAGAAAACTATTATTGGACGGAATAATATGTTAGAATGATATTTTTAGTAATGTTAAATTGTATACTCCCTATATCCCTAATTACTTGTCCATTTTCCTTTTTACTTGTTCATTATTTTGACAAATCAGAAAGGACAAATTGTTTTTACCCGTTATACCCTCAATTAATTAATTTTGAAAAATGCATAACTTCTTGAAAATCTTAAATTTTTAGTTCATCCACTTTCATAATCAATAAGGGTAAAATGAAAAACTTAATGTGTTAATCATTATTTTCTTAATAGGTGCGTCAAGTCAAAAGTGAACAAGTAATTAGGAACAAAGAAAGTAACTAATATATGACAGAGGAGAAGTTAGAGATCAAAACTAGACGTGAGAGAAACTAAACATCTAGTAAAAGTAGGTGTACCCAACAAATTGACAAAGAGATAATCTATTAAACACGTAATTATCGTTATTTCACCTAACAATAAATTTTCAATGACGTACTTATTCAAACTTAACCGAAGTTTAATAACTAAACACAAAAGTCAATATAAAACAGCATCTCCAATTCGAAGAGAGTACAAGAGTTCAGCACATTTTGAAATATGAATACGAAAGAATAAATATTTTGATGCATTTTTCAATAATACTTGATAAAAATATTTGGCAGTACACATTATATTTAGCATTATTCAAATTATATAAAAATGAATGCAATATATATATATATATATATATATATATATATATAATTCTATTAAATGTAACATTCAATGAGAGAATCACAAATATTTTTTATATATGTTTTTAAAGTAAATCCTATATAACTTTACAACGAAAGAAATAAAAATAATTATAATTATATATAAGTGTTAATATCAATAAATATGTATCTTAACTAATTATAAAATTACTAATAAAAAAATGACATGTGTCCAATTTGTGCACTCATCACTTGCCACACTCTATATGCCATATCAACATTTGTGGTGTATTTATCTATTTTAAATTAATTTAGGAGGTAATAGAACCCTAGTTAAATTTAGACGTGTCTCTGAGATTTCGATCATAGTCGGGATACTAATGCCTTATCCCTTAATTTAACCATGAAATTAAGCAATAAATATTCTAACTTTAATTTTTAACCAATAAGGTTGAGATACTTGATTTGAAAGAAACGCATATGTGGAGAAGCATTTAATAGTACTTGCTTTATGCATCTTATATAAATACGAGAGTTAAATTACTTAACTTCAATGTCAATTCATATATGTAATTTTTAATTATTTAAAAGTGTTAGCCTGCACAACCTAGTAAATTCCCCCTTTTTGATGATGACAAATCTCTTTTCTTTGTGCATTCAAACAATTTTATCTGTAGACACTGAAACATGAAATACTAACATGAAACAAGTTAGTCAATGGATTATAAACACTGCACAACTCTTATCTTCCCCCTTTTGGCATCATTGAAATGCTATGTAAATCCTATAATATACGAGCTAGATTGATCAGTTAAACTATTCATGGTCACTGGCGATCACCAAAACAATCAGATAACGACTTCATGCAACATAATAATGTATTATAGAGAGCAAGAACAAGAGTCATTAAAGCAATAGATAATCATTCTATTAAACTGCCAGATAATGTACTATATAAGATCGAAGTCATACCGAATGAAGCAAAAACTATTGAGCACTAATCAAAAAATAAACACTGGACATGAGTAGAATAAAGCTAGAGATACTTAACATTGAAAAGTGAAGAGAAGAATGGAAAAGTGGCAATAATTGTGTCAACCAACGAATAATTTCAGCATTTTCATCCCTTTCTTCATGAAGAATAGCCTATAGAGCTTAAATTCTTATCCAAAGGACATTTGTTTTTTCTCATAAGCTACATGAGTAGCCTCCAATTCAGTAATTTTATCAGTGAGAATATTACTTCAACCTTTTCTTTGGAGTATCAATTTTCCTCATGAGGCATGTAGATCAACATGTTTCATCTATTGAATAACCTCTTCTTTTTTTTTCTTTTTTTCTTTTTTTTTTTTCATTTGAAAAGTCCATGATTGAAATTGAGTATTCCTCAAAAATCACTATGGGAATCATGTCATTTTGTTTTTCATGCTAGCTCTAAGATCTTCTTTAATAATGGCATCCTCTTGACACTTATGATTTCTAGATGGGAGTTCAAGGTGGAATAGAAAAAAGATGTGTTTCTGGAGTTGGTTCTTCCTCATGAACTGAAAATGAGGAACTAGATTTCCCTCCTCAAATGAGAATTATATATGTACTAAGTTAAGAGCAATTTGAAGAGGACATCATCACAAATATCAAAAGATGTACTTTGGTGAATATCTGATTTAAACTTGAAAAAAATAATCAAGAGGGCTAAGTGAGAGAGAACAATTTGAAAGAATAAGACTCTTGAGCTTTGCCGATTATTTTATTTTGTATTAGAACAATTAATACATGAAACTTGAGTGCTCAATTGTTTCACTTTATACAATATTAACCTCCATCAATATATAGCATACCTGATAAGAGCAATTTTGTGATCATTGTTGCTTGTTTCACCGTTTCTCTGCACAATCTAATACAAAATTAGGTTAAAACAAGTCAAGGATCTGAAATTGGGACACACAAATAAATGTGTAAGACTGAATTGAATAACGTTTTAGCTCATAAAATTAAGGAGAACAATTATTCTAGCCAATCATTGAGGGGAGTTCATGCAATCTTAATCATCCTCAAGTCTAACTTAATCTTTCCATAATGCTCCCTACTTAGTGTCACAATCAATCAATTGTTGTTTGACAAAGAACAACGTGATCCAGCAACCACATACTTTGTGGATAAATCAATTTCAAGATTCATTGTTTCTCCTATCAATATGCCATTTGTCTGTTCAACAAATGAAACACGTGGTACAACGTGTTTCAATGCACTTTCATCAGTTTCACTGTAATCCTCATTTTTTTTTCTTCCCCCTTATATATGTACTTTTTTTTAAATGACATATTCCCCCTTTTTGAGAAGTGAGCGAAAGGAACTTTTGCTTGACTTCATTGATATCTCTTAAGCAAGCAATATCAATGAATTAAATCACTTGCTTCCTTTCAGCTTCACCTGCAAAATAGCTTAAGGGTTAGTCTTAGGAACCCAAACAAGCTTGGGTCCTTTCTTATGTTCAAAAGGGTGAATCAGATTTCTTCTCGCCTATCTAGGCAGCTGGTTAGTAGACCTGTTTCTGCCAACAGGTATAAATCTGTTTTCATTTGCGAATTTAGTATTTCTTTTTCTAAAATCATTAGCAACTGAAAACTCAGTAGTTGGATGACCAATTTTACCACAAATATAGCACAAATCTTCAGAGATAATATTTTTTTTATGGAATCCTATACCTGCCTTCTCATTGTGCACCCTATCACTCAATTTCTTAACAATTCTGGAGGAATTCGTCCATCTATTAGACTTTTCAAGATCCATTTTTAACCTGGAAATTTCTAGGTTCAGTTTTTTTCACTTTATCTTTTTCACAGAAAAAATCATTTTTTCATTCTTTTAAATCATGTTCTAATTTCTTCCTAGTATCATTTATCTTTCCTTTTTCAATAATGGACAACTTAAGAATTTCAGATTTCAAATTCAACTTTGATGACTTAAGTTTATTAACCTGTTTCTTTAGAGAACAATTTTCTTCTTCAATTACAGTTTTTGAGATCCATGCACTCAAATTTTTTATCTGCAAAATCTTTAAATAATTGATCTCTTTCACAGGTTAATTCTTCAAAATCATCAAATAAGCTACTTATCATGCTAATTAGTTCTCTTTTAACAAAAGATGCATTTTTTCTTTCAAGTCAAGGATACTTACCTCAGATTTTGCTTTTTCTTCTTCCACGTCGGAATCTCCAATAGCCATGAAAGCGATCTCATCTACCTTTCCATCATCAGTATGTTCTGAACCTGTTTCTTCGTATGCGTCCATGAGAGTATTCCAAATTTGTTTTGAAGTTATGCAACTAGATATTCGGCAATACTCATCTGGTCCAAGGCCACAAATAAGAATAAACTTGGCTTTGGCATTCTTTTCAAGAATCTTGAAGTCAGCCTCCTCGAATTCACTCTTTTCCTTTGTATGTCATTATTTTCAGCATCCTTCTTAGTTGGGTATTCTGGTCCACCAATAACTATATTCTAAAGTTCATAATCCTCAGCCTGAATAAAAGTTTCCATCATTGCTTTCCACCATGAGCAGTACTGGCCATTGAATAACGGAGGCTTGTTGATATCTTGTCCTTCATAATATCCGAGTGAAGGTGTAGAATTCATCTCGATCTATTCTTAAGTGGTTAAACTTTTGACAAGAAAACCTGCTTTGATACCAATTGTTAGTCTGCACGACCTAGTAATTTACTGATTTTAACTTTACGCCTAAGTGTGAAACAGGTTGCCTAACGTGCTCCAACAAAGCAGTAAGCACAGTAAGTAAAAACATAATATTTTACATGGAAAACACCCGGCTCAAAAGGTGTAAAAAACCACGACCTGTACCCCTACAGGATTTTTAACTCCAACTTTACTAAATCATTGAGCCTCCACAAAAGATAGATTACAAACTTTGCAACCTACCTTAACTTCAAGTTATGGATTTAGATTACAACTCTTATAATCCTAGGAACTAACTCTAATTCCTAACCTTCAACACAAACCTCCCAAGGTATATGTTCCCAACTTTTCGAGTTATCACAACCTGAAGACAACACTTCTAATTCAGTTTATAACTCACTGAACTAAGATTACATCAAGACTCAATCACAAAGAAAAACTCCTAACACATAAACTCTGTAGAAGGATTAGGTTCTTCGATGTGTTCCTTTAGTTTGCTAGTAGCACTTCCGAAGTCAATTTCTCAATTGCTCTTTTTGCTCTATAAGTGCACAAGTATTTTGGACAACTTCGCCTCTATTTAAGCTCAAGTCTTCATAGAATTATTGTTTACTTCAAACTCCTCATTGACTTGAACTCTCTTGACTTAGAGTTCTACTTTAAGTAAGACTCATTATTCAATTCAAACTCCTTGCTTCTTTAAACTCCTTCTTCAAATTACATTCATTGATTCTTTTGTATTGTAGTCAAACTCCAACACTTCAATTCAGCAATAACTTGAAGAGTTCTACTTTAAGTAAGCCTCCTTCTTCAATTAAAACTCCTTGCCTCTTTAGACTCCTTCTTCAAATCAAACTCATTGATTCTTTCTCTTCAATTCATCATATATTTATTTCCTTGGGTTTTCTCACGAAATTAACATTATCCATTCCTTTATTTCTGCACTCTTGTCTTTGTTCATTCTAACAGCTTTCTCGAATTTAACTGCTCATGTCAGTACACCTTTAGACCATATTGACTGACGTGTTTCGTCTTTCTTTGTCAATCATCAAAACTGCATAAATCCAAACAAAAAGTACTATAAATTATAGTACTAATTAATAGTTTAAATTTTTAAAAAAATTGGTAAAAGAATAACTATAATCTCTCTATATTACCTTCAAAACATAAAAGTCCTCAAAAGTGTTGATTGAATTCTTCATTAAAATTTTTATAATAGATAAAATCGTTATTTATTATTTTCTTCAAATTATTATTATTTTTTTATAATATTTAATGAGGAATCCTAAGATATAGGGTAAGAGGTATTGGAAAAAATAAGTAAAAGAAAATATTTTAAACAAGATGCATCACAAAAGATAGAAAGAAAAATCAAATTACGTTAGGAAAAAATAGGAATTTTGTTATCACAACATGACCTAAAATTTGGCATAAAAAGCCCACATTTTAGGTTTTTGATATCTAATAGCTCATCTTTTTCGGAATTTTGTGATGGCAATATATAATGTAGATTAAAATTTGGAATAAAATAGTTCATATTTCATTTTTTTTTGTATATATAGGTCAAATACACCCCCCCCCCCCCCTAATAAATAAATAAATTTGGCATTATATTGACAAATATTGAGATCCTTTATGTTAATGTTATAAGTAAAAGAATTCATTCATGGAAAAATTACGCGGTTAAGCAAACTTATACTACTTAATTACTCATCATAGCTATAGTTTGCTATAATTATCACTCACGACTAATATTATACATTAATTACGTGGGCTGACTTCAAGTTTGTATAATTAGCCACGTTTGTATATGTATAATTCACCAGAATATACAAATACATATGTATAATGTACAATTATCTAACCGATATACATATACAATTCACCTCCCTCCCACTCTCTGCCCTCTCTCGCTCGCCTCTCTCCTCCCTCTCCCAATCTCGCTTGCCATATATACAAATACATATGTATAATATACAACTCACCTCTCTAAACGATATACATATACAACTCACCTCTCTCCCACTCTTTGCCCTCTCTCGCTCTCCTCTCTCCAAGTCTCGCTTGCCTCTCTCCTCCCTATAACATGTAGCTACGAATTGTAATTATCAAACTATAGCTATGGAGAGTAATTAAGCTATTTTTGAGTGGCTATATGTGAAAGTTCCTCTTCATTCATTACCTAATAATTTTTACTAGCTTGTATTAAAGATTTTACATCCCCCTCTCATAATGGTAAAGTTCTTTTTTCTTCTTTGCTTTATTCTTGAGTGTGTTTTAATGCGTTAGTAATAAAAAATAACTTTGAATTCATATTTCGATATTTATTCGCTCGTTATTTCAATAAGTTTGTGAGGTCTAACTTATAATTCTACATACACATGCAATGCATGTACGCTAAATTAGCCATCAACTTTATTTTAAATATTTATAACTTTGAAATTAATTAAAGGTATAGCTATTAAATATTTAGTTATTTATAATAACAAAAACTCCTAATATTTAATATTTAGCTATGGTTTCGGTTCTTGTTGTTTTCTTAATTTAAGTGTTTATATATATACTAGATAAGCAAGACTTACCTCAACACGATCCCAACATTTTATATTATCATGTGATTTGATGATAAATATAATTAAACAAAAGATTGACAAAATAGCACATGAAAAAACTAAAAGCTAAAATTGCATAAACTTATATATGAAATGTTAGGTAAGGGCAAATACATATCTTCAAAAATTCTATGCGTAATATCATAGAATTTTACTACAACATAGGCTCTCCAAAATGCTTAAGCTTCTTAGCTGGATCAACTCAGACTTCTCTCTCTAGAAAATTGGTATATCAATTCTCTTGTACAATTTAACCACATTGTATGAAAATTACACAACATAACACTACTTCATTTTATAGTTTACTTAAGTACTTCATTTTGTGCTTACAAAGAGTAATTTACAACTCCAATAATCCAGAGATAAATTGTCAAGACTTAAGAGTATTGAAAAATTGAAGTCATTTAAGAATGCATATGGCCACACGGATGAAACTTGAGGCAAAATAAAAAAGTATAAATTGTAGGAATCACATAGTTTTAATATGAAATTACAATCTATCCCTATTTAGTTTGTAATTACACTAATCCCTGAAAAAGTAAAACAAATCGGATACATAATATGTAGCTCGGATACTTTAAAAACTAGCTCAGATATGTTGTAAAATAAACCGGATACATAATATGTAGTTCAGATTCATTAAAAACTAGCTCGGATACATTATAAAATAATTTAGAATTAGGAGAGAAATAAGGGATTTTAGAGGTTTTTAGAAATAAAAGGGAATATTAAAAATAAGGAAAACATAAGACATGTATTTCAGTAATTTTTCCAAATATATGATATAAGAAGATTGGCCAACATGTAATTTGTGTTACATGTACACTCCAACAAATTAAAGTTACTCAACCGACATGATGTAATAGTATTTCAAGTATCAACTTATACCTTTAGGGTAATTTGGTACATTAGATAAGATACGAAAAACAATCTCGAGATAAGGTTTGAGATTAACTTCATTTCATGTGATATGAGGCATCAACTAATCTCATAACTATTTTATCCCACCATTTATATCAAATGACCAATGCGCTTCATGTCGTATATGATATAAGTAGCATACATGAGTCTCTTGTTAGAACCAACTTAGAAATTCATTAGAAAATATAGAAAACAATATAATTCGTGAGGAGTTCAATATAACTACTTAAACTCACCAATAAAAGTCAAAGAAAGTTAATACTGACCCAAAATCTTCATAATTGACAAAGACGTACCTTGTAGAAGACCTGTAAGGAAAAGAAATAAAAAAACTTTTAATTAGTTGGTTCGAGCGTACTATCAAACATCTTTGTTGCACCAATTCTTAAATTGAATTAACTGCGCATTTTATTAAAAAGAGAAAAAGAGGAAAAAAGGTCTAAAATTGTCCATTATCTTTAAGCTTGGATTCAAAATCACCCATAAGAATTCACCTGAATATCTACATTCAAACATGAATAAGTATATCAAAAAAATTAGTACATGCATATTGAAAATCCAATAAAAAAACAACCCAAAAAAAATGGTGATTATAGACGACAAAAGTTCAATAATAAAGAAACCCTCAAAAACATATATAAATATATGTTACACAATTTTCATGGATATACACACAGATATAATAAGAGATAAATAGATATATTGTGAGATATACATTCATATATGTTGTGATATACATGGGACACAATGCATGATACACATATGGAATTTTATCAAACAATCCTCGAATAAATTAAAAGGAAAATTGTAAATTATAGCAAATTATTAATTCAAAATAAATGTTATAGCTACGGTTTTATTTAATGCCAATTTGTAGCAAACTTCTTGCCATTCGCCTTGCTCCCTTCTCTCTAGAATCTCATTGCCACTCTCAGTCTTCTCACCCTCGCCTCTCTCACTTTATATAATTTGTGTTTGTGTTTGTATAAAACGAGAGATACTGTATATACAAATACAATACATATCTCTCTGTCCTATACAATCAATTATACAAATACAAATCTTCTTCTGCCTAGTTCTCTTTTGCCTTTCTCTCTCTCTTTATACAAACACAAATTATACAAATACAATGTATAATTTGTGTTTGTATAAAGCGAGAGAGAGATTTGATACACAAATACAAAAGTTTTAACTCGATTCAATTGTATATGAATTCAAATTTTATGCAGATATACAAACACAATCATTGATATATACACATAGTAGTTACATATATACAATTATCTAACCGATATACATATATAATTCACCTCTCTCCACTTTCTGCCTTCTCTCGATCGCCTCTCTCATAATCTCGCTCACCACTCTAGCCTAACACAAAGAACATATACATATATAAACACAATTTTCATAGACACAGATGTCCAATTTATACAGATGCTCCATAGCAAACATAAATTGACTATGGAGCACAAATAACAAAACAAAAAGATCGGTAATATAATTTTTATCTTTGCTATTTCTAAAATTTACTCAAAATTAAATCCAACCCTCAAAGAGAATACAAAAATCTAACGGGCTTTGATATTTGCCACTTTGGCTATAAAGCTTCTTGATATAGAACCAAATTAACCCATTGGGCCTTATTCCCCCTTTTAGGCCTAAACCTAAAAAAATGAAAATATCTACGCATTTTCCCACTTATAAATATGAACGTTGCTTCTTCAAAACCTTCAAAATCTTGAAAAACCTTATCTTTTTCTACTACACTATCAACTCGGCGCCTTATCAACAATGGCTTCTTCAGTTTCTTCTCTTCAATTTCTCTTTGTAACTCCACAAACCCTTTCTTCTCTAAAACCCAATTCCGTACCAACTTCATTTTCCTTCTTCTCTCTTCCTTCATCTTCTCTGAATCTTTCTTTATCTTCTTCAACTCCTTCTTCTTCTATCAGGCCTTTTGAATCTTCTTCGTTCGGTTCTCGGTTTGTTCGTAACGTGGCGTTATCTGAATTTGACCAATTGGAAGATGATGTCGGAGAAGTAGAAGAAGAACCCAATTTCTCTCCGGACCTTAAACTCTTTGTTGGTAATTTGCCGTTCAGTGTTGACAGTGCTGCACTTGCTGAGCTTTTCGAACGAGCTGGAAATGTTGAGATGGTTGAGGTAATTAAGCTAATTATTCATTGTTTCTATTGTTGGGAAACGTTAATTTTGCTGATTTATGTTGATTAAAAGCATAATTAAGTAAATAGAATTGTGCCCTGTTATAGCTACCAGAGTATTTGCAGGTACATGGTCATGTTAAGACTTAATTAAATAAGTAAAAGTGGCGGAGCTAGAAATTTTAACGATTGTGTGTCAAAATATAAAATGTTTTAGGTAAATAGTGATAATGAGAACATGCTATGAAACTTTTTCGATATAGTAGTAAAACGTTTTCTCCATGCTTGCTCAAGTATCTTGGAGAAAGGGCTGTGTTTTGTACTTTTCCCTGTAGTGAGCTCGAGAAGATTTGTTTTCTATATCGAGATTTTAAGTGGATGTGAGATGCAAGGATTGTATAGGAAGGTATTGAAGTTGTTATAATTTTGCAGGTTATATATGACAAGCTCACAGGAAGAAGCAGAGGGTTTGGTTTTGTGACAATGTCATCGAAAGCGGAAGTGGAAGCTGCTGAGCAACAATTCAATGGATATGTAAAGTTTTGCTCTTTGTTCTTGCCATTTATTAGTATCTTCAAGTGTACTTATATTACAATGTTTGTTTAATGTTTCGATAAGTGAATATGGCTTGCTATGCTAATTAGCTGCTGATGAAAACACTTTCTAGTCTTACTTTTCAACTTGTCATTTGTGTAATCTAAAAATCTTGTCTTTCCAAAAGAAGTGCTTGGACATGCATAACTAAGTAAATGTTTTGATGTTTCTCTTGCAGGAAATCGACGGGAGGGCATTGAGAGTGAACTCTGGGCCAGCACCAGAGAAAAGGGAGAATTCATTTGGAGGTGGACGAGGTGGGAGAAGTGAAAATTCCTCTTATGGAGGTGGGAGAAGTGAGAATTCCTCTTATGGAGGTGCACGAGGTGGGAGAAATTTCGATAGCTCCAACAGAGTCTATGTAGGAAACCTCTCATGGGGTGTCGATGACCTTTCACTTAGAGAATTGTTCAGTGATCAAGGCAAAGTTGTGGATTGCAAAGTAGTGTATGACAGAGATAGTGGTAGATCAAGGGGATTTGGATTTGTGACATTCAGTTCTGCTCAAGAGGTCAACAAGGCAATTGATAGCTTGAATGGCTTTGTAAGTATATTTTTACTAACCCTGATTAAACAAGGATTATGAATCATCCGATATCTGTTTACTAGTTGAACCACAAATTACTTTGGTTTCAGCTTTGCTAGATGTTGTTTCTCATTCGACTTTGAGTTTTTGTGAAAAGATACTCAATATGTTCATCAGGCTGTTCTGATACTATGCATCTGGTGTGATTTGTTGTGCAGGACCTTGATGGCAGGTCCATTCGCGTAAGCGCTGCAGAAGAGCGACCCCCTAGGCGTCAATTTTGAATGTGTTAAATTACATCTTTTTGATTGAGAAAAACTTGAGGTAAACAACTCACATGTTCATGTTTCAAATTTATGCATAGTCTCTTAAAAGGCAGAGCCGAGAACTCATCAATGTATACTCTTATATGGTTATTTTACGGTTCAAAGCTCTTGTTGAATGTGTTTTAACTTCTTACAAATGTAAAATCTTACATGGCAGGGCCTGGAAATGATGAAAATCGCAACAAAGCTCATGAAATGCTTGCAACCTTCAACACCTGCTACTAGTTTTACACCAAATTTGGTACAAAATTTTGGTATCTGCATCTAGACTAATGCGAGTACTTAGTATATTTTCTTTTACAGTGTATGTTCTAAAATTGCCTTGGGGAAAGATTCTGACCTGTAATATGTTGACTAATGACATGTTAGATCACTCTTTGGGATGTGTTATCTTGGTGTGTGAAATGAATGTGGAAATTGTTGCACAATTTTTTTGTTTGAAAACTTAATTTGTTGATTGAATGTGTGGTTGATTGTATACAAAAAAATGGTCATCGCATGCAAATACAACGTTAAGATAGTTGTATTACATGATAACTGTTCTATGCTATGCTGGAATCTATGTAATATTTTATGCATGATAGGATGGATGATATCTAATCTCCGCGTGCCTTGTACTCTAGTAGTTCATTCGTGGAAACAATATACTCGGTCTCTTTGGTAGATGAACAATTGTAGCATACATGAATAGATATCTTGTCTTATCTAAATCTTCCAACATGAATAGAATTCACACATCCTATAACAAAAAACTGAAATCTTGTCTGTCAAATGTCAGACCAATATCCATGACCAGAGACAGATTTAGAATTTAAACTTTATGAGCTATCCATGATACCCTTGAAGTACCTCAAAAGCTTCACTGGCCTATTATCTACGCACTACATTAACAAATTGTAAAAACATTATAACGAGTGCAAACCATAACATGATACTAAAAGAAGTCTTGATGGCAAGAAATGAACAAAAAACTGTCTACCTTCATCTTGAGCTTCCCTTCTTTTGATTTTTACGCTCATTAACATGTTGAGGTTGTAACTTGCTGGGATTTACTGAATTCAAGTCACACTCAGATTTTCTTCCACAAAACACATTCCACTTTTTCTTTGTTTTTACCACCTTTTTAAACTCCTGTTTCATGCTGTTACACTCTTTTTCTAGTTCTGCAACACGCTCCCTCATGTCATCGATACTCGATCCTCTTCCATTTACTGTGTTTGTGTTCTGGTTTCCTCCATGAAGAGTAGTACTTTGGGAGTTGTCAAGATTATCTGAGACAAAGAACAATCCTGATATTGATGTTCGTAGTCGAAGTTGTTCAAAGAACAAGACTTGAACTATGACCCTAAGAGGTAGCCTCTCGTTTTGAGCAGCGTGTGTGCAAGCTTCCAACGAGAGCTTCTGGCAATTCATTAGTCTGCAGATTTGCTCTCTTTCTGAGTCTGTGAGCCAAGGATGTGCCTAAAATTGAAATGTGTAAGAAAGGGTGCACAATATCAGATCACTCTGAAGTTTAATATATGTAAATCCCAACGATATGATCCCACATGTTAAGTTTGAGGAGGGTAGAGTGTACGCAGAACTTGCCCCTGCTCCATGGAGGTAGAAATACTATTTTCAAAAGACCCTCAGCTCGAGTAACCACATCATAAAAAGGAAAAATACAGAATCAAAGAGGACATAGTAAATAATACGGGAAGCATATTCAGATAAAAGGTACAATAACAATAACCAAATGACGCGATAACTGAAGCACAAGAAATAACAAGTAGTTACATAATTCGATGGACAGGGAACTACGAGAATAAACCTACTACTACTTGTAAGGAAGGAAAAACAACCTAAATAAAGGCAATTACCTATACCTTCTACTATCATAAATCTCAACGATAAGCATTAATTGGTAATTGTAGAAGAAGAGGTAGAGAAGTGAATTTTGTCAATTCTAGTTACTTCTTTACCATAACATAGAAACTCATCAAAATTACTATGAGAAATCAAAAACTAGTTGCTACAATGACATTCTAATTTCAAAAGAATCAACTTCAACCCGATAGAACAACACATTTGAAGTAAGAAAAATCGTATATCATTAACGGAAATATAGAACTACTTGTTACCTTCAAATATATATCAATTGCACGATAGATACCATCAGTAAGTGGCCTTGCAAAATCCGGGATTGTAGCAGCAAGAGACTGAAATTTAGGGAACTTGTAATTAACATCAGGTGCGACCTCAGAAAGATATGAATCCACTAGATTTACTACCCTTGTTAGCGAAGTCAAGGAAGTTGAACCTTCCATCAATTGGTTTTCTTCCATAATACATGGAGATGGTGCAGAAGAAGCCTGGTCTATTGACATAAAATGATCCAAAATTCTCTGAAAACAGTCTATGTCATATAAAGTTTCCACTGAATATCCCATATTTGGTATCAACAAGTCATCTAGTGCAGCTTGATCTAACTGCAATCCCACTCTTCTCTCCAAATTCTCCCTGCAAGATGGACTTGCTTGTAGCATCATAGCGCTACGGAGCAGCCTAAGAAGAAACCTGTATTGATATGTAAAATACGTAATCAAAAGTATGCTCTCTATAACAACTTAAACTTCTAAATAAGATAGTTCACACAATGCAGTATGGTACCAGAGCAAGCGGAAGGTGTGTTTGGTAAGAATGAAGATGTTTTCTTAGAACTTTTTTTTCGAAATATAAGTGACTTTCTTACTTATTTTCTAATATTTGCTAAGTAAGCAAGAAGTTATTGTCTCGAGCATTTATACGAGCTTGTTTGGATGGACTTATAGCCTATGGCTTATAAGCAAGTCAGGAATCCTAAGTGCTTAAAAACTAATTTGAGTTTAAAACATCTATAATAAGTCAATCCAAACAGGCTCTCAGTCATCTAGAAAAACACTATGCGGATGGGGTGATCGAGGGGTGGTAGGGGGTTGGGGGTAGGGAGGAGACAATGAACTTGGAAGGTGGTTTGGTGTCAAGACATAATATGATTAAGTAATTAAAAGTGTGTTTTCTCTAACAACTTACGAACCTAGTGTCTGTTACTCCTTTCTGATTTGGCAACAACTCCATTATCTCCTCTAAAAGTGCCCTTTGGTCTGCTTCTGATGGAGTTGAAATTGTTGATCCTGATTTATTAGTATGGCTAGTAGCATCCTTGAAACTTGCTTGTCTATTCATCAAAGGAATATATTTCTTTGCATAAAACACAACTGCACCAGCTACATTTTCCGGCCTCATTCCTCCAGCTTCAACCGCCTGAATCAACCGTTTATACAGAGGTAAGCTAAGGAACGACACGTCTTCATACCACCAATCATCTGTCATCGGCTGTGTCTTGGATCCCGTGCATATACCATTCCACACCTCCGCGTCTGTGGTATCCTCATGACCATTTTCAGACACAGGCCAGTTAAACAACTTCGTATCGGTACAAGCTTTCATTGCTAAGGAATTTATGCATCTTGACACAATATGAAGCTCTTCAGCATGTGGTAGGACTTCTTCACATGTTTCAAGAGCTTTTATAGTATCTGTCCAATTCCCAAAAACGTCGTTAAGAAAAGATTCTGTTTGTGCAATGAGATTTGTCTCACCATATTCATCTGTCATTTGCAGATACTCTGATGCACATCTAAGGCTCACTATATTCAAAGGAGTGATTTCTATTTTGACACCATAACAGAATTTGGCTACTAGCTCAAATGCTTTAGCACCACCAGGTATGTCATTGAGCTGCAGGACGCTAACTGATACGTCGTCGTTTGATGAATCTTTAACTAGCTTTGCTAGTAGTCCACTTCTTGATATCAATGGGAACTGTAGAGTAATACACAAACAAGATAAATGCACAAACACTACACCTCCGTTTCAATTTGTTCGTCTTACACACGATTAAAGGGCATTTTGGTACATTCTATAGATCTTTAGTTTAAGACCATAAGATTCAAAAGTCTTTTAACTTTCTTAAACTCCGGGTCAAGTCAAAACCAGACAATCAGGTTGAAACGGAGGGGGAGTAATTGATAACAACAAAAATAGAAGGTGTACCTTGTGTAGATAAAAGGACATTTCTCCAATTTCAATTGTAACATCACTGGGAAGGCCTGATGTGCAATGCCTGAAGAGAGTTCATGCATAAGCTTCATAATTCAAAGAAAACATTTCTAATTTTGCTACTTCAGAAACAAAAATGAAGAAAATGAATCAAATGTTTTGAACTTTTAATATGCTAAAATCAGTGGCGGAGCCAGGAATTTCACAAAGAGTGTCCAGAAATAGCACAACAAAAGCTCTTTTCAAAAAGTAGAACTAGTGAGAATCGAACACACAAGCACTTCCTTATTCCAAGGAAGTGAAACCACTAAGCTATAACAACTTGTTATATTAAGGGTGTCCAAAATATGTTATTTAATCATTTTGTGTAGCATTTTACTTATATATACGGTATTTTTTTCCGACCAATTGGACACCCTGACCACCATGTGGCTTGGCTACGCCACTGGCTGAAATGTTATGTTGCTCAAACTCTTCAACAATATCAACGGATGCATGTCATATTCTCCAAAAGCAATGTATTTTTGGAGAATTCAACACGGATGCGGCATCAAAAGTCAAAAAGTGAAGTTGAACTTCTGAACAGAGAGATTACAAGCATAAGCTCAAATTTGACACAAATGTTGTATTTTTGACAGGGGGACTAACTCCTTCTAACGACTTATACATTTTGTTATCATTTCCAATCAAATGATCCATTAATCCAACTAGTGGATGATTACAAATGGATCGATTTTTTTTATTTCCATTGGACATCTTTAAGAATGAAAAAAATATTAATAGGGAGTGTTTTCTTCTTTAGTAAGTCTTATACATCACGAATCTAAATTAATCAGAGCCTCAAAACAGATATCGAACATCAAATGAAAAAAAAAAGGGAAAAGGGGCTTACCAAGCTTGGCCTTCACGACGGAAGGCCTCAGATTTGGAGCCAAGTCTTAGAAATGCCATGAATCCAAAAGTGAATAATGCAATAATTAGTTGTTTCAAATGACTGACAATAATTTCTCTGCTGAAAATTTACACAAACATGAAGAATCCAAATGAAGATAAACACACAACATAATTTGAAAAAAAGGTCTTTAATAATGATAATCAATTAGGATTTGGGAACTTTTTAAATATATTTGCACTAATATTATTTGTTTTTTTATGTGTATTAATAATTAAAATAATTGGGATTAAAAAACAGTGAGTGTAGGTAGCAAAAATAGTTTTGGACCGAGTCTTTGGCAGTTAAAACAACCGTTTTCCTCTCCTCTTATCTACCCTCTTTATACTCATCATATATTCACTCAAAACATATACATTAAAAATAAAATAATATATATATATATATATAAAATCAGGGTGACTCTATAGATATGGTGGCCTAAAGACGACATTAATGAGAGACTTAAAATATTTTCAATAAATTTATTCATCTATTTATTTGAAATAAGAGTTTAAGCTTGTGTTTGAACATGCAACATGATTTGAAATCATGAATTTTAAAGCCCGAATTCTCAAGAAAAATATGAGTTGAGATTCTAAATCATGATTTTTTTCAAAAACGTAAAAACTTAACCCATAAATTTATATTTTATATAAAAAAAACCTTGTCATTTTAAATTTTATAAAAAAAGACCTATGCTTGGAGTGAAGAGATTGTCCGTACCATTAAAAGTATTATATTAAAAAATTAACTAGTTACTATGATTATTGACTAGTAGATCTTTATAAAATAGTGTGTATTTGGAAGTTTGTAATCACAACATTTATTTATAAAAGAAACATGGAGATATGTGATTTATCAATGCTTTTGGTATTTTGATATCTTATTTATGAACTATGCTTTGCTCATTTGATATTGCATAAGAATTGGAGAAACTTTGATAGTTTTCACAACCTGTCGGATTTATATATTTCTGAAAAAAATATTTAAATTACATGTCCAAATAAAATAAAATTTCAACTTCAAATGAAACTGATTTCAAATCATGATTCTATATCGGATGTTCAAATTAAACAAGACGCTAAGAGAAAACGTGAGAAAGAATAGAAAAAATGAGCAAATTTCAGAAAACATAGTGTATAGAGTAAAATTCCTTAAAAGTAACCATAGTTAGGCAAGATATGCGTATACCCTACCCTTTCAAACCCTCTATATACGAGACTACATGCATTAAATACATTATTATCGTTGTTGGAAAAGTAATATGAGACAGGGGGGGTATGTGATTATAAATCTTTTTCATTAGGTATAAAATAAAAAAGTGTTAATTAATTATTTTTAAATATAGATTAGTCAATAAATAAATAAACATTTAAAAGGCCGTAAAACATTGGTTTAGCACCACCTATGAATGCGGAGTAGCAAAAAACTGCTCCTTACTCAATTAGAGGTCTCAAGTTCAAATTCTAAATATGAAACATTCTTGTTAGGAAACGTTTTCCTTCAAATGAAGTCCTACTCATTGAGAATTAGAATAAGTTGGACTCTGTAAATGTCAACACCCAATGAAAAAATAAAACATTAGTTTAGCTATTTTTGTGCATTGGCGTAAAGAAAGGGTCCCCAAAGAAATAATAATAGGGAATATAGGGCCTTATTCGGGAAAAACACTGTTTGGTATATGTATTAGGGAAAATTGTATAAAATAGCAAACTATTAATTCAAATTAAAAGTTATAGCTATAGTTTATTTTATTTGTAATTTGCAACAAACATTCCATTTTTTGCCATCTAATTCGGTATACAATTAACCATTTTCGGTATTCAAATGTATAAAATTATAAAATGCATTTGTGTTTGTATAAAGAGAGAGAAAAGTGTATATACAAATACAAATACAAATACATATATTTTCGTCCTATACACTTATAATTATACAAATACAAATCTTATTATACAAATTACAATGTAGAAATGAATTTATACAAAACTGAACAATTTGTATAAAATTGGATGTTTGTAGCGAATTATACAAATCAAAAGCTCCATAGCAAACATAAAATTTGTTATGGAACGCAATTATGCAAACTATATCTATAACATACAAATATGATTTTTATGTTTGTTGTATATGTGAAAGTTGCTCTATGTATTAAGTTCAATTATATTTAAATGAAGAAATTCGTGCAATGTAGGGCCTTATTCAAAAGAAAACACTCTTTTTCAAGAATTTTTCTATACACAAAACTCAAACTCAAAACTTCTGATTAAGAAAAGAATAACTTCATCCAATGCACTACCACATTCGATGTGAGTTGATTTGCTGTCTATATGGTTTAATATGGAAGCATTGGAGGGACAACAAAGCCCATGCACCTATGTGGGTTTTTTTTTGCATTAATTAAAGATTCTTTTGGTAATAAAATTTATTTATTATGAATTAAATTTGGGTCTTTTACATATTTGGTTGCTCCACTAAAAATAATTATAGCGGCTAACTAATATATACGTACTTAAATATGAATTTTAAATTTGTAAAAAGTGATTCAAATCTATTTTCAATTACTTTTATAAATTTCAATAAAATGTTATTTCCTCATCTTCTTTTTTTTTTTTGTGAAAATCTTGTAACAATTTATCTTCAACTTTATTAATTATTAAATAATATAAAAAATATTTAAAAATTATGATCAAACGCATGCAAATATTACAATTGGAGTAGATCTTTGACAAAAAAAAAACAGAGTAGATCTTTGAGATGTAAGTTTGCAGACAGATATGGTTAAAGAGTCCTTTTCTAGGTATTGTTTGATTTTAGTGCATAACAATGTACAGACCACACGTGGACATGGTTTTTTTTTTGAAGATGATAATTTTATTAGGAGAGTCAAAATATAGAGTTAATAAATTTTGGAAAATTATTTATCAAAATTATTGAATTTTATCTTATATTAATAAAATCATTCAACTCAAGTCTTTATATCAATAAAATCACTCAACTAAATTTTTTCATGTCAAATTCTTTTAATGATAAATTTAATCAAGTGATTTTATTGATGAAAGGGCTGAAAGTTTAATGACTTTGCTAAATAGTTTCTCGAAGTTGACTGATCTTTTAAGATATTATAAAATAAATACACAATTTTTAATTATTCTTTTTAGTATATACATACATTAATTACGATAAATATAATACATAATTTGATCTTACAATGGAATACTATATGTATTCCAAATACAAAAACATGGTAATATAACCTATAAGAAGTCAAAAAACACTATTTAAATATTGACTTGAGTTGGACGGCAAGTGTTCAATTCTTACACCGTACCGTATGCATTATTGTGAGTCATTTTGTCCTAATATCTTGGACAATCGATGGTGTGACCCTGCTCCTAATAGCCAGAGTTCCCAACATCCTTATTCATCAACATTTTCTAATTAATTGGTGAAGGATCTAATTTGTATATATTGATAGTGAATTTCTATACATTTTAGGTGTATTCTAACATGTTGTAGCAAGTAATTCGTTTATGTGTATGTAACGACCTGAACCGTCGTTAATTAGAAAAAGCGAAAATTCGAGAAAAATATGGGCCATTGACCCGCCAGGGCGGGCCAGGTGCTGCTGGAGCGGCGGCGCTAGGGCGGGATAAGTGAGCGCCATAGTGGGATAGGCGAGACAAAACATAAATTACGAAAAATCCAATTTTCTCCATCTTCCTAAAATACCTAAATAAGTCGTAAAATACTCTAGAAACCTCAGAAAAGCTGCTCCAAGCTTGGGAATGAAGGAGAAGGGGATTTCTAGCGTGAGGATGGCGAAATCTTACGAATTCTTGGCTAAATTCACCGTCACGAACCCGGAAAACTCGAATCGAAGTCAAAACTCCGTACAACTGCTTGACGCCCAGGTAGGCTAGGTTTTTACAATCGAGTAATTTTAAATCTGTGCTTACTACGTGATATATGTAAATCAATGGTAGGGTTGTGTGTAGACCCTCGTTCACCGAGTAAATTACATGAATAATCCTTAGAATTTAAGTGTGTGGGTTTATGCCTTGTGAGGAGGAATTGGTGAGTTATTAGAAAGACCTAGAATTGCTATCATGGATAGAATTGAGTCAGGAATAAGGACATGAAATCAAGAGTGAAACTAGGTCTATGAATGTATGTTACATCCGATAATTAAATTGATGAAATTGAGGAATTATGATGAATAGTGATTAAAACCTAATGAGAAATCCTAGCGATGAACTAGGGTTGAGTATGGTCAACTATTATATATGTGATAGGGATTGAAGAGTAATTCCTAGGTGATGGTTGTGATTTTATAATTGTGTGATGTATACTTGCTCTTGCTTCGTGATGATACTTGTATATGTATGAATGTTGCAATGTTGATCACACTTGTTGTAACTGAGATAGATGAAATATCATTGCCATGAAATCATGACTTAAATGTATGATCTTAATGATGTACTTGTCTTTCGTGATTGTGGTGTGTGAATGGGATGAAATTGCCACATTCCAGCATAACTAACTTGGATCGGATTGCCACGTTCCGGCATAAACTTGGATCAGATTGCCACGTTTTGACATAATATGGGATCGACTGTCACGTTCCGGCACACTAACTTGGGATCGGTTTCCATGTTTCGGCATGCTAACTGTTTGAGTATGGGTTTCGTGAGAGGACCAATAATGTGCTATTAGATGTGAGTTCTTCGTTGTTCATGTGCTTGTTGATAACATGGTATATGCTTGATATATGTTTGTGAAGTATAGTGTTGTATTAGTTGTATAAGTTGTACTTAGAGGGCACGTGTTATGACGAGTTATAGTTGGTTGTTCGTGGGATGTAAGGGGGAAAGTAGGGATAGTAAGTGCGATGGAATATGTTTATGTGGATTTCACCTTGGGGGGAAGGAAGATTGGGTTAGTGTGAAGAAAGTTGAATTAATGTATTATGTGACTATGGTTGGGTAATGTGGCGAGGAAGCAAGGGTAGGACGTGAGC